GGTACAGAAAACTGGCACAAGTTCACAATTTTTAAGCTTGCAAGAAAAATAGATGATTAATATATGTTTTGCCATTGATGTTTACAAATGTCTGACAAATCCAGTCATGCCACTTGTCTTTTCTGGTCTTATTCCAGTTTCTTTCCTCACCATCACTGACATTGCCCCTCTCATTAATCTAAGGAGCCTTTGACACCAATCTTTGATGTATTATTGCTACTTGAAATAAATAACTAAATAGTATTTCCCATGCTGCATAATTCAAAGTAACTAGTCACACATTCTTATTTTGATTAAGGGACTACTGAAATATTGAAGAAACAAGCATAAAGACAAAATGTAGAGGGCTGGATAAAGATCTGACTTTTCAAGGTCCTGAGCTGCCTCAGAAAGTGCCAAGTTCTTTCTGAGATCAGTATTTTTTTTAAATTGGGATTACAACACCACAACTCCTGGGCCGTAACACAGTTGAGGTAGGCGCTCTAACCAAAAAACAGAAAAAAAACTGATTTCAGATGCATTAAATCCTTACTGAAACTTTTTAATTTCCAATTCAAATTTCAAATAGCAGCACTGGGTATGTAAAAAATGACTTGGCTAGATTTTCCTATTGTGTAAAAAGTGCAAGTCCTATTTAAGCATTCTCATCAACTTCTTCCCTCCTCCTCTCTGTCCGTCTCTAGCTTCCTTAACTACAATTATGCACTTGTAGAAACACAAATACTTAAAATACAAATATGTGTGCTACATATTGTCATTATATTTAATATCCAGTCACCAAAACCAAACCTATGACTGAAGAATTTCAAATAATATTACTGGCTATTCAGCTTATGTATCTCTATGACAGTGTTAATGTTCTCTGTTTATATTAAATGAACACAACCAAATGCACCTTCTTCATAAGCTTAACTGAAAGGTAATGAAGACCTCTCTGGACAGTAAGCAGCTGAAAGCATACTAGAAGGTAACTACAGCAAGAAGGCAGTCAGGTAACTATTTAATGGTATGCAGCACTTAGTTCTTTTTATACATAGCATATTTACACATAGAGAAGAGTAGAGTAGAGCCCCATTTGAATATCAAATACACACTTCTTTTTCAGTACACATTGTATAAAAGGCACTTCCAAGGAATTAATAAATAATATCTCTTCTGCCCCAGCACAGATTTATACACGCAAGAAAGCTCAGTGAGATAAAATTAATATCACAAAGCATGCTCTTAAACCCAAATACCTTTTAAAGCCAAAAAGACATTAAAGGATTATAAAAGTGAGTTACCATATGATTCATTTTAAAAGGAACTGTCTTCGCTACAAACTCCTTTTATATAAACAGCAGATAGTTGACTGGCTGGCTTTTCCATATGCCGCTATTTGTAGTCTAGGTAGGATTTCCATTACTGAACTAGAGAGTGCCTTTTGAAAATAAAAGCGTACGCTCTGTCCTGGGTTAAGCTTTCAAAAAGCCATCTTCCATATATCCTGGGGTAAAACTGCACAAATACAGCAAATATTTTAAAGGAGGAATGGACTCTCTGAAGAATAGTTCTTCAAACAATGATCTTCAGACACAGCTTGATGTGAACGCTTGTGCAGAACTCACTTTCAAGTAAACACCTCACCATCTTTTGTTGTCATGACAACAAGCAATCTCACTCGCTATTTGGATGGCACAGATAATTCACAATCATATTGCCCAATTATGTCCACCTTAAAATAAGAAAACACATGGAAGACACAACTGCAAAACAGTGTAATTGCCTTTGGACAAGTCCCAGTGAGCATCTTCTTCTGTTTACACCAGTAAAGGCTTACACCAGCACTGGCTTTAGTGGAGATGCTCCTGACTTGCAGGACATGCAGGGTCTGATCCAATTATCCATAGTCCAGTGCCATTTTGGGTGACCTTGCTTGGCTTTCAGCTGTTGGCTGAGGAGGACACAAGTCTCATGCTGTCCTGTGTCACATCTACCAGCCCCAGTGGACATCGCATATAATTTAATGAGTCTTAAATGGCAGTAGAGGACCACGTGTGTGCCACTGACCGAAGCCTTCAGCATCACTGCCACAGTCCAATACTGATATATTAACACACCCCAAACCTATAAAACAACATTGTTGTGTGGCAATAACACCCTATTTCATATATACATAATCTAATCCTACTTCTATTCAAACCATGTTGCAAGTGACCAAAAACCTAGCTAAAGTTGTGAACAAAAGTTTTTCCTGGGATTTCTGGGGGAGATAGATGGTGAAACTGAAATACAATCACTGACTTCAATGATAATAAACTGGAAAGAAAATATACTATCATTGCCCCAAATTGAAAGAAAGAAGAACCAATAAATACAACTGCAGCAACCCATTTACCTTTTGAATGTCAACCTTCAGCTAAGACATTTGTGCTAGAAGAGGCTGAGGTATAAAACACAGGAATTTAGCATGCTGTCCTCAGTGTATGGGGTCATCATCTTTCCCAATTAACGTTTCCATGAGTTTTTAATGAGTTTAAACACTGCAAGTGAAGCAGCCACAATGCTGAGCCAGTTTTTAGGTTTACCCTTCCTTTCAGACCACTGCTGAAGAGCACACACGCTTCCTGACCCAGAAACTTTCTTCTCTATCAGCCAGAGCATTTCCAAACAGAAATTCGCTTCCAGTAGTTCCTCTCCCGGTCTCTCCTTTCAGGCTTTGTCACTGCCTGGAAACTTAGGTGTTTCAGTTGAAGGAAGGACAGCACCTGAGGAGGCTCCAAATCACTGTGCAGCTTTACAACAACATCCCAAGGAGACTTTTAAAAGCAAGTCAGCCGTTTGGTGTTACTGCTCACTATCTCTGCTCTGCCTCCTACAATTTATTCATTGCATTCAAAAGCAACAACACAAAGTGCACTCTAAATGAAATATTTTCTCTTTTTACTTTTTCCTCAACCGCATTCATAAAATTTTCTGACTGACAGACCTGGAATCCACTTTCTGTTTATCCACAGAAAATGTGCAGGATACTTCAGGTGCACGTAACTAATCTCTCTTTGCACTGGAACTGACCCAGAGGAGATGCTCTCAATACGGGAAGGTTTCTAACACCACCCCATCACTCCTGGAGGCTGACACAGTGATTTATAGCAACTAATAAAGGCCAAAGGCAAAGCACTCTGCTTTGTTGGGAGCACAGGACTGACTGATGCCATCACTGAAAGCTGGAGAAATTTGGGAGGTCTTAATGTCCTTTCCAGTCTTGTCTTTGTCACGCTGGACAACTCTACTATCTTTACGATCGTTCAGCCTTGTAATCG